AGATAGTTGTACAGCTACTTTTGCCAAACAGCTCTAGTTAATCAACTAGCTACATAGCTATCAGCTTTCAGCTATAATTTCACAGCTTTCATCTAGCTTAACAGCTTTCAGCTATAATCTCATAGCTTTCAGCTAGTTTTGCCAAACAGAGCCTAAATAATCCAAGATAACGACACAAACTCAAACAAACGAATTTTACGTGGTTAAGTAAGTTGTCTACGTCCATGGGGAAAGAAGAGGATGAGGTTTTCACTAATAGATAAGAAGAGTACAAACTGAGATTACAAATTACTCAAAACAACTAACTAATCTCACCAATAAATCTCTAATTCTCTCCAAATAAAATCCTAACTAATAGCTCAGAAAATACATCTTTTCTATGCTCCAAATATCCCCCAATCAATGCTTGATCAAAGCCAAAGAAACCCTAAAAACATGTCTCTATTTATAGCAAAACACAATCCCAAACAGACTGGGATTCTAAAAAAAGAGTCTGCCACACCCGGGGGTGGCAGACACCACACCTCTGAAAATAGGATAGATTCTGCCATACCTGGGTATGGCAGATACCACACCCATGTCAACAGGGACATATTCTGCTACCTGGGTGTGGCAGACACCACACCAGGGTGTGGTGGAGTCTGTCTTGCTTATTTTTTATATTTTTTTAAAATTCCTTCGCCGTTTTCACACATGTTTCTCTGCCTCCATCCCATTTCTACCTTCCTCTCCTCTTCTATGTTCTCCTCTATCTCATAATCGATGTTGCATCACTCAATAGTAGTCATATTTATCTTAAATGAACCATCTCCTAAACTCATGTCGAAATTAACCACTTAGCACTTAAATTTCACATTTAACAATTAACTTAACAGTTAAATTTAACACGTAACAATTAAACTTAAATACTGATAGTTAAATTTAGCACATCGTCGTTAAACTTACGAGTTAAATTTAACATTAAATTTTAGGTTTCCCCCCCTAGAAACTACCTTTAAAATATGGTCATTCTATAGAAGCCACCTTTTATTGTCAATTTAAACATAAACCACATTTAAAGAGTTTTTTATTGAAATCAACAACATGGACCTACTTTTCAGTTAAGTGTTTTTGGCAACTGATCCCACCAAGCTTTCAATTAAGGATCATCCCTCTCATATACTCGGTATTTAGCATCTAATTATTAATGTAAGACCAAAAAATTTTGATTTAAAAGTGAGTCTAGGTGTTGCAACAAGAAATTGTTTGAAGGTGGTTTACATATAAGTTGAAATTTAAAGATGGTTTATATAGAATGATCCCATTTTAAAGGTGACTCCTAGGAGGAAAAAACTTTATAGTGTCGTTTGGCAAAGGGTTAAGTGAGGGGTTAAGCAGCGGGTTAAGTGAGGGGTTAAGGAGACTTAACCCCTTCTTAACCCGCCAAACACAAAAAATCTATATAATGGTTAAAGTGAGTTAACCCTTCATAATTTGTCACACATAAAAAATACAAAAGGATTAAGCTAACTCTTCTATAGGGATTAAAATGAGTTAACCTCTCAAAATGAGAGGTTTATTAATACTTCTATTTAGAAGAATTAAGATGTAACCTCTCTTTCATAAAGAAAATAGTCAAAATCATTGTTATTCCCAAAGACTAAAAAAACAATCACAATGTGATGATATTTGAGCTATGTGACAACAATTGTGAAGAATAAGGAGGAATTGCTATTAAAGAAAGATGAAAAATGGTGGAGGAGGGGATGTGTCGGTGAAAATATAGTGAGTTAGTGGTGAAAGAGATAATAATTGAGAAGGAAGAAAATGAGGAAATATGATTCATAGGAGTTTATGAGGGGAGGGGGGGGGGGGGGGGGGGGGGGGGGGGTGGGCGGGGGCGGGGGGGAGGGGGGGGGGGAGAGGGTTGAGGATGAGGATAGTTTTGGGTATAAAAAATACACACCATTGAATGCGTTATTTTCCTAATTTACACTTAAAGTCAAATTACAACCATCCATAAACAAATTAACGATTATAATATTGCTGTGGTCTCTCCACTACCACTACCTTTTGGTAGTGGAGAGGATCCAAATCCTTTGCCCATGCATGTGCCAAAAATTCAAGGGGGCTGATCATATGAGACTTTATATTTTGGGGTCTATATAAAGTTGTTCCTCTTTCTACCATCAGATAATGTACTCCCAACTCAATAAATTATTTTTCACCATCTGTTAAGTAACTATTTTTCACATCTTTCAATCCACTACGGTTTTTCAATCATCAATCACATACACTTGGTCCATAACAAAAAACAACATATAGCGCAAAAAAAAAAAAAGAAAAAAAAGGGAAAAAAATATATGTGATTACACAGAACATAAACACTACACGACCAATTCTTAAAATTTCCAAAAAAGAAAAAGGCTTAAATAACGAATACAAACTTACGACTACGATGCAAGCCGACTCGCACCGGAAGTGGAGCTGGTGTACCGCTCCGAAAACGTTTTCCCAACCACCCTTGAATCAAACTCAGGCGACGACTCATGCCCCTTTTCACACCCTTCAGGGATCGTCGTCAACCCGTCCGAGCTCAAGTACCCTCCATAAATCTCAAACTCAACCACATCATTTCTAGCCACGGACGAACAAGTCTTCAGCCCAAAAACCGCCCGAATTAGCTTGTTAACGGACCTCAAGACCCGCGACCGCCTTTTTGTTTGTGGGTATGGATCCGATAAGCGAGGCATGGACATGCATCGGGAGGTGAGAGCCGAGTCCAATTTTTGCTTGAAGGATGTGAGCTCGAAGGAGTCGTAGAGAGAGCTTCCGCAGTCCCAAAGTTTCGGGTCTCGGATCTTGACAGTATCCATTAAGAGTGAGAGTTTAGAGGCCACTTGTGGTTGGAGAATTTCTGAGCAAGTTTTGAAGAGGGAGATAAAGGGAGATTAGAGTGTCACGGAGCTTGAGAGCATGGCCATGAATTCAGTTGAGGGATTTGTACAGTGTGCAAATATACACGTAGGAGTTAGGAAAAGAGTCCTTTACAAGGTTTAATGAAGGGAGTAAAGGGGAGTAGAGGTTGTGAAGCTGAAGTTATGTGGGGGAGGTTTAAAAAGGAGATTAATTGTGATATTAAATTGGAGATTTGAGACATTATTTTATTTACTTTACAACAGTAGAAGTTGGAGAGTCAATTAAAATTATACTCCTAATAAAGATATCTACATCAGATTTTCATTTTTCCGAAGTGCGGGTTACCAACTATGTATGCCGCTATAGCTAACCAGAAAAATCAATATCCTATACGTCCTAATTCATCAAACCAAATGTGACCTAAACATATCGCCAATTTCCATGAAAATTGGATGATTCAACTGATTCTATATATCAGTTATCGAAAAATATCAAACTAGTCCAAATAATATTAATTTGGAGGATTTTTTTAATGGACAATTTGGAGGGATTTAAATTTATAGTTTCAGTTGACACTGGAAAAGAAAAAAAAAATTAAAAAGGCTAAATAGCAAACCGCCACCCCAACACCAAACAACCACCACCACCATAGCTTTGGATGGCTACCAGATAACCCCGTACAACTTTCAAAGTATCATAATAAGCCCCTTAGATTTAGCGGTAATTATTAGAAAAACTCTTTTAACTTTAAGATTTAGCAGGAAACCACTAAGCTGTGTTAATAGCGATTTTTACATGGGTGAGTAAAATTATATAGGTATTATGAGATGAGGGAGGTCTTTGGCCTCCCCCTCATTATCCCTCCATTCACACCCCATTATGGTGATGTAACACCCCATTAAGTGAGAGTGACTCTTGGGTACTCAACCTATTCATATTGATTAGTATAAATATATATCATAGGCCTTTGGCCTATGTACTTGCTTTAAACACGTTATCAACACGAAGTGTTCTTGAATCCCTGAGCCATAAAAAATATATATATATATCTTCCTCTTTTGCGCATTGAGATCTGGTTCGTTGCAGCGGGAGCGTTCGACGGATCATCGCAAGGAGGCAGCGTTCTACGGATCTTTAGTATCGATCGTCCCTAGATCTGTGATCTAGAGGTAATTACTATAATCCGTAGAATAATATATGACAACTTTGCTAAACAAAAAAAATATTTTTATGTTGATGAAACTGGCGAGAAGTTCTGCGGCTTCTGCTAGTTTGTAAAAATTCATATATTGTGTTAAATTTGCACATTTACGCTGATAGCACTTCCTATTACCATGAATATTATTTGGTTTTTGCTTAGTATTAACGGAAGTGACCATTGCTAGGGAAATGCTCTTAAATTACATATTCTTGAGAAGAAAACAGTAACACCAACACCAAGGTATTATTGTATATGTCCAGTTAACATGACATAAAATCATATTTGGCCCCTATAGTTTTTAATGCTATTCTTTAAACACATATACATTTTTCTAATGGAATGCTAAACCCTTGGTTGTTTCAGAGTTTCCATTCAGGGCACTTGGATTATTTTTTTAATCATCACTTGTTATTTTCAAGTTCAAACTCACAATTTCTACATGATATTAAAAGTATTAAGTAGGCAGTATCGCATAGAAACAAAAAGAAGTCTAGAAAAAAAAATTCAAAGAAAGTAAGGGTTTACTGTCCAAATTTGTTATGCCTGTTGCATATATTATTATTAAATTGTGTGGATGTTTAAATAAATAATGTTGTGGTTTTTGGATCAGCCTGTTTGTCACCAAATTTAAATTCCTTGCATTTTCTTTTCCTTCTGAGAGAGAAATTGTAGTGAGGATATAATTGTAAAAAGTCAAAGACCGGTGTATTCCATTGAAGACGAAGGCATTTTTGCAAAATGCAGGGACCCCCAAGGGTTTTCCAAATTGTATTTTAATTTTATGTTTTTTGTTATCTTTGGACTGTATAATCGGACTTTGGACACTTTTTATTTTTTTGGTGACGGGCTGATCCACGCAACATGTTTATTGCATGAATTTTTAATTCCTTATTATTAATTCATGTCTTTCAAATGCATAGATAAAATAGCTAAAATAGCGAGTGTTGATTTCGAAGTCCTTGACGCTGCTGGCAAGAATTATTTGAGTTGGCATGTGGACCTGAAGTTCCACTTACGTGCCCAGGGCTTATTAGCCACAATTTCAACTCCTGCACCACCGGCTACGGCCACTGTTACGGGTAATGCTGTAAATAATGCTGAGGTTGCTACTAAGTGATCGTCTCTGATATAGATAAGGCGAAAGCCATTATCTACATCAGGAGACATATTGATCGGACCCTGAAGGCCGAATACCTGACTGTAGAGGACCCAAAGGAATTGTGGACTGCACTTGAGGACCGATACAAACATCAGAAAGATGTGATCCTCCCACGTGCACGTTATGAGTGGGAAAACCTCCGACTTCAGGACTTTAAGTCCGTAGCTGAGTATAACTCAGCACTTCATAATATCACCTCACGCCTGAAGTTGTGTGGTGAAGAAGTTTCGGAGGAACGCATGTTGGAGAAGACTTACACATTCTTCCACGAGAAGGATGCAATCCTCATGCAACAGTACCGCGAACGAAAGTTCAAAAAGTATTCTGAATTGCACTCCACCCTTCTGATGGCGGAGCAAAACAGAGAATTGCTTTTGGCCACTCATAACCTACGCCCTGCAGGCTCAGCTCCTCTACCCGAAGCTCACATGTTTTCTTCCCAGAAGCAGAAGAAAAAGCATAAGGGTAAATTCAACAAGGGGAAAGCCCCTAAGTGGCAGGCCAGATGTCCACCCCAGAAAAACAACCCTCCCCAGAGCAGCAATAGTGAGGGAAAGAAGAAGTGGAAGAAGAAGACCACTGAGCTGTCGTCCATTCCCAAGAACACTTGGGAGGACAAATGCCACAGATGTGGCATGACTGGACATTGGTCCAGAAACTGTCGCACTCCGCGACACCTCCAAGATCTGTATCTAGCGAGCCAGAAGTCTCCTGTTGAAACAAATCTGGTGGAAAAGCAGCCGTCTACTCAGTTCACTGCTGATGACTTCGAAATGGATGATCTTCTCGACTAGATCCATGTTATCTTTATATGCATTTAAATTCTCATAGTACTTTCATCTTTAGTTCTTTACTTTCCATGTAATGCAATTTACTTTTCAATAAAGATAGTTATTTTCTTTAGATTAAAATATTGCATTCATGTTATAGATGAAGTGTGAGTGCCTTGTGGACAGTGCCTCGACGCACACAATCCTTCGCGAAAGAAGCTATTTCAATAGCTTATATGATTATGACGATCCTGTAATTACGATTTCAGGACTATCTAATATAATAGAAGGATTTGGTGAAGCAATGATATTGCTCCCAAATAAAACGAGACTAATAATAAAAGATGCATTATTCTCTCCGAAATCTAATAGAAACCTCATAAGTTTCAAGGATATTCGTTTAAACGGATATCACTTAGAAACCAATGATATAAATGAGGATGAGTATTTGTATGTAACTCGTCAAAAAGATGGTTCAAAAACTATCTTAGAACGATTCAAGGGACTCCCGTCGGGTCTCTATCATACATATATTCAACCAGTAGAAGCTAACATGATTATGCACCAGAAGTGCCATTCTTTGCCGAAATTTAAACTTTGGCATAACAGACTGGGTCACCCAGGATCAGCAATGATGCACCGCATCATGAGCCAATCAAGTGGACACAACCTGAAGAACCTGAAGATTCTTCAGAAGGGTGATTACTCATGTCTATCTTGTTTTCAAGGTAAACTGATCACGAGACCTTCCCTTCTGAAAGTGGGATTAGAGTCTCCTAGCTTCTTGGAGAGAATACATGGCGATATTTGTGGGCCTATTCACCCCGCAAGTGGACCATTTAGGTACTTTATGGTACTTATAGATGCATCAACCAAGTGGTCTTACGTGTGCCTTTTGTCCACCCGCAACTTAGCTTTTTCAAAGATATTGGCACAAATTATTAAGTTGCGGGCTCATTTCCCCGATAATCAAATCAAGAAATTACGTCTTGATAATACGGGGGAATTCACTTCACAAGTCTTTCAAGACTATTGCCTAGCAACTGGCATCGTAGTTGAACATCCTGTAGCACATGTTCACACCCAGAACGGGTTAGCAGAATCTCTAATTAAGAGATTGCAATGGATTGCTCGTCCATTGTTGATGCAATCACAGTTGCCTGTTGAGGCTTGGGGTCATGCCATATTGCATGCCGCATCACTTATCAGAATACGGCCCTCTGGTGGCCATATTTTGTCACCAATGCAGCTTGCTTATGGTGCACCTCCGAATATCTCACATTTGAGAGTGTTTGGTTGTGCAGTTTACGTCCCAATTGCTCCTCCACAAAGGACCAAAATGGGTCCACAGCGTCGTTTGGGTATCTATATAGGGTTTGATTCGCCCTCTATAATAAGATACCTTGAACCCCAGACGGGTGACGCATTTAAGGCACGTCTTGATGATTGTGAATTTGTTGAGGATTCATTTCCTAAACTTGGCACACAGTCCAGGAAGCCTGATGCTCCTAAGACCATTTCTTGGAACACCAAGACTTTGTCTCATTATGATCCGCGTACTAGTCAATGTGAAGATGAGATCCTGAAGATTCTTCATCTTCAGAATACAGTACATTTACTTTCGGATAAATTCACTGATAACCATAAGATTATCAGATCACACGTCCCTGCTGTCAACACGCCAGCTAGGATTGACATCCCCAAAGATGGATGCAATCCGCCGGCAGCAGAAACGGCTGTACCTCAATTGAAAAGAGGACGCCCACCAGGTTCGAAGGACAAAGTCCCTCGTAAAAGAAAAAATCCTGGAGAAATAAAAATGAACCCAACACAGGATACTGAGCTCAGACCAGCTTCCTCTCCCCTCCTAGATTCCCCTGAAGAGGAACAAATAGGAGAAACATCATTAAATTTTGTACGTACTGAGGAGGTACTGGACAGAAAAAGCACAGTCGTCGACGACGACTTTGCGTTCGATATTGCCGTTCACGTCACTGAATACGACGATGACATCGAACCACGGTCTCTAGCGGAATGTAAACGCAGAGACGATTGGCCAAAGTGGAACGAGGCAATAGGAGTAGAGCTGGACTCACTCTTGAAACGCGAAGTCTTTGGACCAGTAGTCCAAACACCTAAAGGTGTAAAACCTGTGGGATATAAGTGGGTCTTCATCAGAAAAAGAAATGAACACAACGAGGTTGTGCGCTACAAAGCACGGCTTGTAGCACAAGGTTTTTCCCAAAGACCGGGAATAGACTATGAAAAAACATATTCTCCGGTTATGGATGGGAATACCTTCCGATTCCTAATAAGCCTCTCATCTCTGGAAGGCCTAGAAATGCAGCTCATGGACGTTGTGACTGCATATCTATATGGCAATATAGATAAAGATATCTATATGAAACTCCCTGAAGGATATAAAATTCCACCAGAGATAGCAGATAGACCTCGGGACGTCTATTCTGTTAGGCTTCAAAGATCATTATATGGTCTTAAGCAATCGGGGAAAATGTGGTATAACAGACTAAGTGAGTTCCTTGCTACGCAAGGATTCACAAATGATAAAGTCTGCCCGTGTATCTTTATAAAAAGATCGGGAACAGGATTCATTATAGTCGCCGTCTATGTCAACGACTTAAATCTCATTGGATCTCTTGCAGAGATCGCTGGGATATCTGAAAGCCTTAAGAATACTTTTGAAATGAAAGACCTAGGCAAAACAAAGTATTATCTTGGCTTACAGATCGAACACCTTAAGGGTGGTATCCTGTTACACTAATCCACATATACACGGAAATTACTTAAAAATTTCCGAATGGATAAATATCATCCTCTTAGTACACCAATGGTTGTTCGATCATTGGATGTAAAGAATGGCCCCTTCCGTCCGCTGGAAGAGGGGGAGGAAATACTAGGTCCTGAAGTACCTTACCTCAGTGCCATTGGAGCACTACTATATCTGGCTAACTGTACGCGTCCCGATATAGCGTTTTCAGTTAACATACTAGCCAGATACAGTGCAGCGCCCACAAAACACCACTGGAATGGAGTTAAGCATCTTCTGCGCTACCTCCAAGGGTCTATAGACCTGGGATTATATTTTCCGAAGGGTGGGTCTCCCACCTTAATTGGTTATTCAGATGCAGGTTACAGGTCTGATCCCCACACCGAGAAATCACAAACCGGATTTGTGTTTACATTCGGTGGTACGGCCATCTCCAGGAGGTCTGTCAAGCAAACCACTGTAGCAATCTCATCCAACCATTCCGAACTCCTCGCGATCCATGAAACCAGCAAAGAATGTGTTTGGCTTCGTTCTGTCATTCAGCACATCTTAGTGTCTACCGGCCTGAAGACTGGTGACCTTGAGCCAACTACTATATTTGAAGACAATGCAGCCTGCGTTGCTCAACTTCAGTCTGGCTTCATCAAGGGTGACAAGACGAAGCACATATCTCCCAAGTTTTTCTGGACGCACGATCTTCAAGAGGAGGAGCAAGTTAAAGTACAGTAGATCCAATCATGTAATAATTTAGCTGACTTGTTCACTAAGGCTCTGCCTAGATGTACTTTTGTAAAACTTGTAAAAGGAATAGGGATGAGACATCTGAAAGACCTACAAGCCTGAAGCTTGTATGGTTCAGGGGGAGTAACCTATGGGTTGTACTCTTTTTCCTTAGGCTGATGGTTTTTTCCCACTGGGTTTTCCACAGCTAAGGTTTTAACGAGGCAAACAAGTTTACTCTGGATCCAGAAGTATCCACCCCATTAGCTTTACGAACCCTGAAGTGTTCATAAGCTAAACTCAATGTAATGGATGGATAAGGGGGAGTATTATGAGATGAGGAAGGCCTTTGGCCTCCCCCTCATTATCCCTCCATTCACACCCCATTATGGTGATGTAACACCCCATTAAGTGAGGGTAACTCTTGGGTACTCAACCTATTCACATTGATTAGTATAAATATATATCATAGGCCTTTGGCCTGTGTACTTGCTTTAAACAATAGGAGAATATTTTTGCTACTCAAAATTGGGGACACGTGCTCTGGGGAGTTCTCGAAAAGAAATCTTAAAGTTAAAAGTGGGTATTCTGATACCCCTAAATAAGGAGGCTTTATGATATTTTGAAAGTTTTGTGGGCTATCTAATATTAATCGTCCAAAGCTTGAGGGGATTGTCGATATTTAGCCAAAAACAAATATAGAAGGTAAAAGAAGGGAATCACGTAGGGCTTGTTAGGCAGTTCGAAAGTAAAAATGAAAACTAGAAAGTAAAGAGAAATTATCTTCTTAAGAAAGTAAATTGTTTTTACTTTCTATTTGAAAAACTTGTGTGGACGATAAGAAAGTAAAAATGTGGAAAAGTTGTGATGACGCTAATGCTACAGGTGAAATGGCATCTACTTATATAGAAGAAAATTTGAAGTTAGAATAATGTTCTCTTACGATGTAAAATTAATTTCTAATATGCTCATATGTTGCTAAGATCTTCTAAAGAAAATAATCCTTACATTGGGCATATTTATGACCAAAATTTTCTATATTAGAAACTATAAATTTCACTAAGAAATATAAACTTCAATAATCATGTAAGTTTACATATCTTTGACATTGCTGGTGTTGCTCAGATCCGAAGCTCAAAATTTTCAATATAATAGGCTTTTGTTGAAATCTAAAAGATATTTTGTGAAAATCTAAAAGACAAAATGTATGTGGACATTACTTTGTATGTGGACTATTAACTTGATGTCTTTTTATCTTCCATCATGTATCTATAAATTGTATCATGTATGAAAATGGAAGTATGAATAAAATTACAATTTCTCTTCTTCTCTTATCTCTTGTTTTATTTCTTTAGTATATTACAACACGCTATCAGCACGAAAGCTCTAGCTAGCCGGTTCGTAATCGTCCGTTGGTGGTAAGAGATATTTCGGTGTACACCTCTTACGAGGTAACAATTTCCACATGATACTTTCTTATTTTGCTTTTATTCTGATCAGAATGATTACCTTAGTA